GCAGCCCCCGAGAGAGCTGGCCGGCGGTGTGCCGCTCCCCTGCGGAAGTGGGGAAAGTGGCAGGGGGAACCGCCCTTCCACGGAGGTGGAAGGGTCGGTAGCCAACCCAGGAAGAACGAGCAGCAAACCCGGGGAGGGCCGAGCAGACGAAAGAACAGCTCAGGGTCCTGTGTCGTTCCTCCATGAAGAGGGGGAGCGACATAATGGTGCCGTGACTCGGATAGGAAGCCTAGGCAGGGTTTAGTGTCGTTCCTCCATGAAGAGGGGGAGCGACATAATGGTGCCGTGACTCGGATAGGAAGCCTAGGAGGGAAGAAACGGAAGAAGTGGGAAAATACCGGAGAGAGAGACTAGCAAAGAGCCTAGGGAAAAGCCGGACGGAAAAGGTGCTGGAAGAAGCTATTGAAAGCCTAGGCAGAGACTCGGATACGGACTGTGGGAAAGAAGTTAGGATTTAAAGTGAAAGCAAGAAGAAACTTAGACTCAGATACGGACTGCAGGTTGAAAGTGAAAGTGAAACCTATGAGAAACTTAGACTTGGATACGGACTGTGGGGAGAGGCCAGGAGAAATGAGAGGGGAATATTGTTGGAAGAAAAGTTAGGAAACATACCGGGTAGAGAAAAATGTTAGGGAAAATGAAGCCGCGGGGATAAGAGAAACAGAAGTATAGAAGTAAAATGAGAGAAATAGGAATGCTGGCAGATAGAAGTAAAATAGGAGAAATAGGAATGCCCGGAGATAGAGAAATAGAGAAAAAATAAGGCCTCCCCACAACACGGCAATGAGAGAGCTTGGATTTGGTCTGCCTGATTAGTAAGACGATAAGCACCTGTGGGTGGCTAGTAGCTTACCTGCTGCAGGTCACCGAAGACAGGCACATTATCAACATCAATAAGTCTCCCCACAGTACGGCAATGAGAAGGCTTGGATTCGGTTTGCCTGATTGCTAGGGCTTGTAAGCACCTGCAGGCAATTCTAGCAGAGCAGAGCATGCGCTGCAGGGCACCGAACACAGGCACGCATCAGCGCCTAAAAACCTCCTCACAACATGGTGAAGAGAGGACCTGGATTCGGTTTGCCTGATTGGTAGGGCTTGTAAGCACCTGTGGGCAACTCTAGCAAGCAGAGCAGAGTGTGTGCCGCAGGGCACCGAAGACAGGCGCGTATCAACGCCAAAAATAAAAAGAAAGGGGGATCTGTGGGGAGCAACTCGGACTAGACTGTTACTGGAATTAAGACTTATTCTATGCATCTGCTCTCCCACAATATGGCGCTGAGAAGGGAGTAACAACGTCTACGCAGCTGCCTCTCGCCTATTTGATTGACTGAGCTGCAGGAACTGATCTTGCTCCTGATTGGAGGAGAGCAGCGTACTCGGCGTGTGGGTAGCAGAGTTGGGATTGGTGGAAGAGGACTATAAAGGAGGAGAGAGACAACATGCACCAGGAACATCTAAGGGGAACATCTATCTGAAGGAACACCTGTGCAGCCCCCGAGAGAGCAGGCCGGCGGTGTGCCGCTCCCCTGCGGAAGTGGGGAAAGTGGCCAGGGGGAACCGCCCTTCCATGGAGGTGGAAGGGTCGGTAGCCAACCCGGGAAGAACCAGCAGTAAACCCGGGGAGGGCCGAGCAGACAAAAGAACAGCTCAGGGTCCTGTGTCGTTCCTCCACGAAGAGGGGGAGCGACAGCCCCCCACCTCCCTGCCCCGACACTTTGGGCTCTCACAGGTCTGCAGACTGACAGGTGCGTGACTGGGCCCCTGCCACGCTTTGCTCTCCAGAGCGCCCACCTCTGGAATCTCTCCATGGTGCTCTTGGCCATGGTCTGGTCAACGGTAACTCTTGGGGCTCCCCTGGCCCACCTGACGCGGCCCACAGGGCCCATCTCCTCGGCCCCAACCACTCTCCAAACCACACCCTCGCCAGTATCTATGTTGGGGAGCCTGGTCTGGGCCTGTCCCCGTCAGGTTCAGGGAGCCCTACAGGTGTTCCAGCGTCACCCACAAGTGACCCCAAGCCAGGAGCTGGTGCCCAGACACCAGAGGCCGTTGTGCTCCTAGCGTGGCCGCCAGGCACGGCCCCTTCCAGCCAACCACATGGAGTGCTCCTGGCGGGATCTGCCGCTGGGCCTGGGCAGGCAGTGCTAGAACTCATCTGAAACGCGCTCACTCGTGAGCACTTGACTGTTCTTACCCAAACGATTTTTCATTAAGAATTTCAAAGCCATGAAGTCACCAGTACGTGTAACAGTGCCACCCTGTCCACGCTCACAGGTAGGCACGTTGCTTCCATGGCTCCGTCAGCGATGGCGGCCACAGCTCGCCGGGGGCTCATCCTGCCCGAGACATTGCTCCTCTGGGGCCCAACTGGAGCGGGAGCCCCCCAGCCTCAGCCCACGAAGGCCCCTGCCTGGAGGCAACCTCACCGCTCGTCCTAAGTCCCGGGCGAGGGCAGGGCCCGCTGAGTCCCTCCTGTGCCTGCAAGTTCCCAGCACCTGCCACTCAAGCAGAGCCCCCATGGCGCTCTGACCCCAAGGACGGCCCCGGTGAGTGAGCCCAGACCCGCAGGTCAGCCCAGCACAAGCAGCGGCTGTACTTCCCAGAAGGCAGCCACCTGCCGTGTCCCGGCGTCGTCGGCGACACGCCCCACGGCACTCAGAGGCCAGCACACCTCTGGAAAGGCGGGCAGATGCCCACAGCAACCTGACACTCGAGGCAGGGCCCGGGGGCACGCCTGGGCCTGCAGCTGTTGGGACTGGGCAGTGCTTCCTTCCCCAGCTCGTGGTGGACAGCGGCCAGCAACGCCCCGACAGGAGGCTGGGGCAGTCCACCAACTGCCCACTCAGGCAACCCCCACGGTCACTGCACGTAATCTCTTCTAAGCTCCAAATCTGCCAGGACAGAAAGATAAACACGAGGACTGTGTTCAGTTCAGACGTCCCGCGCCAGGAGGGTCAGACACCAGACACCACTGCAGCAACACGTCCCTGCGTGTCTCCAGAGCCGGACGACGCCGGCGTGGGTCTTGGCAAGCACAGTTTTCCTTCAACCCTGCCTTTTTTTTTTTTTTTTTTTAAGGGTTACCAGCATTTTTGTGAAACTGAACCATGGACGGAGGGTAGGTGTCGTGGCAGAGGGTGAAGCCGCACTTGGGATGCCCGTATCCCACATCTGAGTGCCGGCTGAGTCTCGGCTGTTCTGCTTCCGATCCAGCTCCCTGCTAATGGCTGGGAAGGCAGTGGAGGGCAGCCCAAGTGCTCGGGCCCCTGCACCCTCGTGGGAGACCGGATGGAGTTTTGGGCTTCTGGCTTCAGCCTGGCCCAGCCCTGGCTGCTGCAGACATTTGAGTGAACGAGCTGGTGGAAGATCTCTGTCACTCTGCCTTTCAAATAAATAAACAAATCTTAAAAAAAAAAAAAAAAAAAAAAAAAGCACTGCTCTGACTATGGAAACTGGGGCGTAGGCTCACCTCGTCCTCAGGGGTCAACCTGGACAGGAGACGTGGGTGTCTTCTCCCAGCGTGTATGTGACACTGGCACCGCCTCAGCACTTCCCCCGGGCTGACACTAACACGCTGACCACCAGGGCACCCGCCATGGCCGCCACAGCTGGCTCGTGCCAGGCTGAAAGGCCTGTCTGTGGTAACAGGAGCCCCGGCCTCCCAGCAGCCCGCTACGGCCCTCCATCAGCAGCCTCCACCCTGCCCCGGCCGCGGGCAGCCGAGGCACTTGGACCCAGAGGGAAACGCAACACTTCAGCCGCTGACATCCGCACCCCAACTCAGACACAGCCGGGAAACCTCATTCTCCATTCCTCACACAGCAAAAGCAGGGAGGACGGACGGCGGCTGAGCAGGTGGGGTCACAGCAGGAGAGGCGTGCGCCCCTCAGCCCACGGCAGTGCTCTCGGCGCCGTCCAGCCAGGAGGCCACATGGCTACTGAGCCCCTGAACAACTGAGGGGCTCAATCCAGATGTCCATGAATTTAAACAGCCACACGTGGCTGAGAGTGACCACGCTGGCCAGAACGCAGCCTGTGGCAGGAAATGGCAACGTGACAGGTCCACAACCCACAGCTGACTTCCTGGACGACAGCCAGCCAGCCTGCGGGAACTCCACCCGCCCCGCTCCCAGAGTGCCGTTCTGCCTTTCTGCAGGGCAGCCTGACTCGGGGGGGGGGGGGGGGGCGGAGGCCGCCACTCTGCTGGGCTCTCGTCCCACCAGCAGGCTAAGTGCCAGTCTCAGCACCCACGCAGGAGCCATTCCCCGACTCCTTTGAAACACACCTGTGCTCACATTTTCCTTCTTTTTCCCAATTCTTCTTTACTTTTTATCTGTTCGGTCTCGTGCAGTGGTCAGACTGTCAGAACACACAGCTGGAGACGCCCTTCGACGTGAAGCAAGGGGACCCCACAGAGGCCATGGAAAATGGAATGAGAAGATGAACTTACTTTGGTTCAAAAACTTTAGAAAACCACAGTTTTTCACAATACGCAGTTTCCACAAACTCTTTAGAGATGCCTCATACACGGGCCGGCACCGCAGCTCACTAGGCTAATCCTCCGCCTAGCGGTGCCGGCACACCGGGTTCTAGTCCCGGTCGGGGCGCCGGATTCTGTCCCGGTTGCCCCTCTTCCAGGCCAGCCCTCTGCTGTGGCCAGGGAGTGCAGTGGAGGATGGCCCAGGTGCTTGGGCCCTGCACCCCATGGGAGACCAGGAAAAGCACCTGGCTCCTGGCTCCTGCCATCGGATCAGCGCGGTGCGCTGGCCACAGCGCGCCGGCCACGGCGGCCATTGGAGGGTGAACCAACGGCAAAGGAAGACCTTTCTCTCTGTCTCTCTCTCTCACTGTCCACTCTGCCTGTCAAAAAAAAAAAAAAAAAAAAAAAGATGGCTCATACACGTTTAAGCCAAACGGAATCTCATACAACCAGAGACAGGAAGATGGTGAGGACTTGTGTGTGCAAAGATCCCCGCACGCGGGTGCAGGTGCACGGGGCAGAAGCGACACAGAAGGGTTTTATTCCTGCAGTCTGAACAGTGTACAAAACCTGTAGGGCAGGGAGACAGACAAAACCTGTGGGGCAGGGTTTTGTTCCGGCACAAACACAGCCACGAGGGTTCCAAGAGCTCGCACGCTGTGCCTTCGGCACCAGGACCTAAACCACAGGGCGACAGCTGTCTGCCAGAACACCGCTTCTGCAGTACAATGTTCAGATCGCTTATTTTCCTCCCATGAGTTTTAAAGCTCTGCGGAGTCGGAGAGAGGCAGGCAGACCGGAAGCTTCTCCCTCACGGTGGCAGCTTGAGCGGAGGGCGGCGCTCACTTGAGCCAGATCCACTTGTCACCCACGTCGGCGTTGTACCCGGGGCTGTACTTGCGGCCCGGCAGCTGTGGGAGGGAAGCCAGCACACAGAGTTTAGCACGACAGTGTTGGCCCAGCCCCCCAGCACCAGCGTCTGTGAGTGCTCCGCGTGAGGACGGAGACCCCACAGAGGCAGCCCTGCCTGCCAGGGGCTCCCGTCCTCAGGTGGGGAGCAGCACAGGACCCATACGACCCCTGTGTTCTCAATACGTCGGCAGCGGCAGGCACCGTGAGGGGCAGGTCGGGGGTGGCAGAGCCGTGGGGAACAAGAGCTTTCTTTCGGCTGCGACCGTCACGACGGGGAAGTTCCCTGGGGAAATCACCCGTGGGGTCGTCACTGTGGGGTCGTCACTGCGCTCTTTCCATGTCTGGCCAGAGAGAACTGACGGTGGGAGTGGCCCCGGCCCACGCTGAGCTCAGGGCGAGGAGCAGGTGGGAAACAGCAATGGGGACCCAGCAGGGCTGAAGGGAGCAGCGAGAAGAAACGACCCCTCCCACCCACCGACCCCTCCCACCCTGCCGCCCAGGCCTCCTGCTGGCTCCGCCCAGCTGGACCCAGGCAGGGCAAGGAGCCCCAGAGAGGCAGTTACAGAGGGTGGCCTCTGAGCACAGCACAGAGGGAGCTGGGGTGGCCACAAAACAGTGTCCCGGTCGCTAAGACCGTGAGTGAAGGAGGGGCAGGAAGGTCAGAGAAGGAAGCCCCTTCCCCTGGGAAGGCAGCCTCAGCGTGGTACCGCAGCAGGAAGGCAGGCAGCCCAGAGCGGCATGTGGCAGGGACAGTGTAGCCCAGAAGGGACAGCCGTGGGAACAGAATCAACGTGCACACCCACGTCTCCCACATCCTGTCCTCCCCAACCACCAGAGCCACTGCTTCCAACCAGCAAAAGGCCATTAGCAGCCGGCCACTGCACAGCCCGTCCGAGCTCGGCCGGCCGCTGCACAGCCCCGCCAGCCACTGCACAGCCCCGCCGGCCACTGCACAGCTCTGCCAGCCGCTGCACAGCCCCGCCAGCCACTGCACGCCCAGCCAGCCACTGCAGGCCCCGCCAGCCACTGCACGCCCCGCCGGTCACTGCACGCCCAGCCGGCCACTGCACGCCCAGCTGGCCACTGCACAGCCCAGCCAGCCACTGCACGCCCAGCCGGCCACTGCACGCCCAGTCAGCCCCCTCCAGCTCTCCACAGCGAGCACGCATGACACAGCCACCTCCAAGGCAGAGGACAGGGCCCCGGGAGCCGCCAGGGAGGCGGACTCTGGCCAGCTCCTTCAGGAGTTGGTGGTCTCAGGGAGACCAGACGGGGCTGTGTCGCTCACCAGTGACGCCAAGGCAGCTGCTGGCTCGGGCAGGGGTGTGTAGCTGCAGGGCAGACACTGGGAGGCGGTGCCACAGGCTCGGGAGGACCCCAGGCCGCTGCGCTGACTGTGTGCAGGCCTCAAGGCTCCAGCGAGAGCTCTGGCACAGGAGAGCTGTGGCTGACCCCTGTGACAGGTCCCCGGGCCTGGGTGGCAGGGAGGAGGAGCTGGTCTTCCTGGAGGGTGACCAATGGGCAGTGTGGGACCGGTCAGCAGCTAAGCAGACAGGGGTGGTGGGAGGGACGCGGCACCACAGGGATCGCGTGTCCAGGGTGACTGGGCGGAGATGTGGGGAGATGTTGCTGGGCCGTGGCCTGCAGCTCTGCAGTGGGGCAGGACACAGAGGACCTGCGGAAGGGACAGCGGCAGCACACGACTCCCGGGCCTTGCGCCAGGCAGCGGCCACGGCTATGGCCCACACTGGTGGGAGAAACCAAGGGAACAGAGACGAGGCCGGGGCTGCTGCTCCTCAGAGTGGACCTCAAATGCCAGGTGAGGGCACGTGTGCACGCACAGGTGGTGCACACACAGGTGTCCTCTGTGTGGGCCTCTGGGAGTGGAGTCCATGTGGTGCCCCCAGCCCTAGAAGCTGCACTGCAGGAGCTCATGTGGCGAAGGCACTGTCTGGGGGACTGGGTGGACCCCAGAGGGCAGGCGGTCATGGACACAGGAAGCGGAAAGGACAGACTGTGGCCGGGAGCCCGCCCACACCGCTGCGCAGTGCTGCCAAACCCGGCACTAAGAGGACACAGTGACACGACACTCACAGGGACGCCGGCCGTGTCTGTGCAGCAGAGGAGAGAGAACAGCACAGGACAGCGGCCAGAGCGGGGGCGCTGGCAGAGCCAGGCCTCCAGGCACTCCTGCCCAGCACTGCGCATCAGCACAGCTGTGGGCAGTGGGCAGCGGCCAGATGAGAGCAGGGACAGCTGTCGACAGGTCTCGGAGGGGCCCCACCACTAAGCACGTTCCTCTTACCCCAGGAGCAACCAGAGTGCTGAACCGAAAGCTGCCACGGTTCACACTGCCAGCCGCACACCCCACAGGTCCCTCGTGCCTGCACACGGGCGGTCACTTCACCTCGTCCCCAAGCTCAGGAGCAGCCACAGCAGCCCTTGGAGGACGGGCTATTTGCAGCTTTGCAAACTGATTTTAAACGGGAGCAAATAAAACTAGCACAGCAGCACACCCACTGGGCCCAGCCAGGGTCTATTAACCCCACGGAATCCGCTCTCTGCACTCCATGGGTGGCATCGAACTGGCGGGGGGCCCTCAGATCCTGGGGCTCTCTTCCCAGTGCTGCTGAGCCAGCTGGCACCTCCGGGAGGGTTCCCATTTAGAACACTCCACACGGAGAGACTGCAAAGTCAGCTTCTGGTTCTGCATGAGCACTTCACGCCAGCACTGGCCAAAACCCAGTGCACACTCACCCCACTAGGAAAGCCATCTCAGATGCTTGGGAGAGACCACCAGGCCCTCTCTCTGCAGGCAGCGGGATCCCAGGGACCACGCGGGCCCCTCCCATATGGGCAGCAGGATCCGCAGAGACCACGCAGGCCCCTCCCACACAGGCCACGGAATCCCAGAGACCACGCAGGCCCCTCCCACACTGGCCACGGGATCCTAATGACTACCAGGGCTCTCACACACAGCAGTGGAATTCCAGAGACCACACGGGCCCCTCCCACACAGCCACAGAATCCCAGAGACCACGCAGGCCCCTCCCGCACAGGCCACGGAATCCCAGAGACCACACAGGCCCCTCCCACACAGTCAGTGGGATTTCAAAGACCATGCAGGCTCTTCCCACACTGGCCACGGGATCCTAATGACTACCGGGGCTCTCCCACACAGCAGTGGAATTCCAGAGACCACGCGGGCCCCTCCCACACGGGAAGGGTGTGTAAATGGTTAGGGGGACAAGTATGCAGTCAGTACTCCAGGAGCAGCCCACACACACACTTGACAGGCACAGGTGTGAGCACCTGCTGAGTGCACGCAGGGCGGCTCCAGGAGGGAGGACGCCCCCCACGCGCACAGGGAGCCCCGCAGGTGAGGGGACTTCCTCCCCACAGCTCTTGGACTCGGGAGACTCACGGCCCCCTTCAGAGGCTGTTTTCCCACCCCTCCCGCTGAAAATAAAAAACCGAGTTTACTGAAGTGGGGCGGAGCCACAGTAAATCACAAACCCACACGTGACCTGGGGACGGAGCTCTTCACCTCATGGGTCAGCTGCCTGCTCGGGGGTGTTGGGGCTGGCAGAGAGCACTCCCAGGCAAGCCTACACAGAGAGGGGCACTGGAGTGCACACGCAGCCTGTCTGGGGTCCAAGCACCTTCCTCTCTGGGCAAAACGCCACCATGCGGGACACGAGGCAACCACACAACACGAGGTATGGGGAAGGGGCTGTCACCCTCGACTTCTCTATCCACTGAAATCACGGGCCAAAGTGAACCTGAGACAAATACATACCCTCAGACAGCAGCTAACAGAAGCCATCGCTCCCAGACCCGTGCGAGGAGCCACTGCTGAGAACTCACTCAGGCAGAAGATGAGGATGCTGGGTACAAACTTACATCCACCCGGAGGAGCGAGGCCGTCAGCAATGGTAGGCACGGGGTGGCGCGGTGGCGCAGGTAAGCCCTGCCTGCCACGCCCCCTCTCCATCCTGGACTGAAGGCTCGAGTCCTGACTGCTGCAGCCTGCTAACACACCTGGGAGAGCGGCAACGACGCGCAAGTGCTCAGGCCTCTGCCACCCCTGTGGGAGACCCAGATGGAGCTCCTGGCCCCGGCTTTGGGCTGGCCCACGCCTGGTTGTTGGAGCCGTCTGGGGAGTCAACCAGCAGAGGGAAGCTCACTCTCTTTCTCTCTTCCTCTGTCACTCTGCTCTTCAAATAAATAAATACAATAAATCTTAAAAAAAATAAGAAAAAAAGGAGAAATGGTAGTTGTGGGGGGAAAACCTAAGATTAAACAAATTCAGGGTGGTCATTTGGCGCAGCAGCCACATCCCCGGAGCGTGCGCCTTGCCTGTCTCTGCTCCTCTGCTCCCAGTCGGCTTCCTGGTAGCGCACAGCCTGGCAGGCGGCGGCGGCGGCAAGTACTCGCGTCTGCCATCCGCTGGAGGAACCTGGATGGAGCGCTGGGCTCCAAGACAGCCTGGCCCCAACATGGCTTTTATGGGCATTTGGGGAATGAGCCAGAGGACAGAAGGTCTCTCTCTCTCACCATCTCTGTGTTTCAAACACAATGAAAAGAGAAAGCAAGCATTTAAACCGAGAGGTCTACTGCACACGCAGAAGCCGTGAGCGAGCGCACGGGGAAGGGTGAGGCCGGGCTGTCTGGAAGGCGGCTGCGCGTGTGAAGTGGTGGAACTCCTGCAGTTTGCAAGCCAACTGTGACAAGCTGAAGACAGCCTGAGGAAGGAAATAAAGCAAGCCTACCAAGAAAACAAAATGGAGGCACAGAAAGCAATCCTAAGAAGCCGGGAAAAGGGGGAAAATGCAACTCCGAACCTCACTGGCTACAGGGCTGTGCCGTCGGGTGAGCAAGAGCAGTTTCTGGGCTGGGAGACGTCACTGCGGCCAACACCACAGATGCCACGGGCACACGTGTTCACGTGGACGGTCCCCTAGGTGCACCCTGGTCCTCCTCTTTCCTCCATGCTTCT